CAAGAGAAGAGTTCAAGAAGTTGGTCGAATTCCTGAGAAGCAAAGGATTAAAAATCAAAGTTGAAGGACCATTGGACGAGAAGGAAGGATCAATGAGTTTCCTGAAGGGAAGTTTCAAGTCTATGAACAATGGAGACGTTGAGATCACGATGAACTCAAAGTATGTTGAAGGACTGGTAGAAGTGTTGAAATTGGAAGGAGCATATCCGAAGAAGCTACCGTGTCCAGCAGACAATGGAAGAGCATTTCAAGCAAAGAAAGGTGGAATGGAACCGCTGAGCGCGGAAGATCACCACACGTACAGAAAAGGAGTAGGGATATTACTGTATCTTGCGCCTGAGAGGCCGGATATCATGTATGTCCTGAAGAAGCTGTCGACAAAGCTAGCATCACCCGTTGAAGCAGACATGGAACTGCTGAGGTACGTTGGAAAGTATCTGAAGGGAACGCCTGAACTTACGTTGGTACACCAGGAAAGCTATCCTGGAAAGAGTTTTCTGGAAGTGAAGAACAGAAGCGACAAGGGAAACGTCGAGAGAGACAACTACAAAGTGCCAGCATTGATAGAGGTGATAAGCGACAGTGATTGGGCAGCAGATCGAGAGTCAAGACAAAGCGTTTCGTGTGGAGTGATAATGGTGAATGGAAACCTGGTTCATTTCCAAAGCAAGAGGCAAAAGAGCGTGGCATTATCATCTTGCGAAGCCGAGACAATCGCAGCGACATCAATCTTAAGCGAAGGTGTATTCCTGAAAGGATTGCTGACAAGAATCCTAGGAGTAGAACCAAGACTGATGTTATACAGTGATTCGTCAAGCTCAAGGCAGTTGATTTCAAGAAAAGGCTTAGGCAAGGCACGCCATTTACAAGTAGACCTCTTATGGATCCAAAGAATCCCGAAGCTTGTTATAAAGGCAATAGCAGGCAAGGATAATCCGTCGGACCTAGGAACAAAATCCCTGACGAGAGAGAAAATACGAAAGTACATGCTAAATCTGGGATATACAGGTGAGTATTTGACACAAGACGTTCAAGAAGTCCGAGAAGAAGCTGAAGTCCGAAGATCAAGAAGTGTTACAAGACTTGATGAAAAGATGATCACAAGGATTATTCAAGTGGTTACGACCGCAGTGTTGTTATCGTTGACGGAAGCAAGAAGAGACGGTGAAGAAGGTGAACAAGGACTGGGAAGAGCAAGCGTAGTGATGTGCATGGTTGCAGCATTGTTGTACATATGCATTTCCAAAGTCGTCTTGCTCAAGAGCTTCAAGAAGATCCTCGTGGAAGAAGAAAAAGAAGAGGATAAAGCCAGAGCAATGGCCGATGATGACGCTTTGAAAGTGATCATTACCGACAAGTGCAAAAGCATCAGGTCAATTGAGTACATCAACAGGTTACTCAAGCAGAGAAGAGAAGACCGACCGAGCGCAGATGACATCTGGAAAGTGGTAGAGTCGCTCAACCAAGATCGCGAAGACAAGGCGACCGATGAAGAAGCAGAAGATCCAAAAGAAGAAGAGCAGCCGAAGAAGAAGGAGGAAAGTGAAGATGCGTCGGATCCAGAGTCTGATGGAGAAGAGTCAAAAGAAAGCGAGCCAGAAGAGGACGATGAGAACGAAAATGGAAAGAAGAAGGAAAGAAAAAGAGAAGAGACAATGGAAAGCTTCAAGAAGACAGCGGAAGAGCTGGAAAGAGAGCATGAAGAGCTCGTGAATGCAAAGAAGGAGAAGATTGAAGCCCTAGCATCTGAGAAGATCGTCTTATCGGAAGAGATCAGGGCAGGAATTATGGAGCAAGGCAAGACTATGGACAAGCGGTTGAAAGAGCCCGTCGAGCTATCAGCCGAAGCTAAGGAAAGAAGAAGAAATTTGGTTTTAGCAGCGAACCAAGTCGCAAGTGAAGCAGAAGAGAAGAAAGAAGAGAAGAAAGAAGAAGAGGCAGAAGAGGAGAAAGAAGAAAAGAAGGAAGAAGAGAAAGAGGAAGAGCAAGAGACCAAGGAGGTCAAGCCGGACCCAGAAAGAGAAATGATCGATTCCTCAGGTGAAGAAGATGCAAAGGCCAGAAAAGCGATGAAGGAGCAATTCGACATAGAAAGGATGTCGATCTGGGAGACGGTGACGGAGAGCACCAATTTACAGAGTGTTCAAAAGAGTTTACCGAGCGAAACTCTTGAGAAGGAGTTTACCGCATGGCAAGAAGCCATTAGAAGACCGGTAGCTCGGCTACCCACAGGATTCGGGTTGAGAACGAGTGATCTACTCTCAAGAATTGACGGTGAAATCGGAGACTACGTTGAGAGTATCTCAATTATGGCAGAAGACGAGAAGAGCGCGGAGAAAGAGTTTAAGCAAGCTCAAAAGGACTTGGAAAAGTTCGAAAAGGAGCTAAAGAAGGAAATGGAGAAGAAGCTGGAAGAGAAAGTGAAGATCCTCCGAGAAAAGGAAGAGGAAGTTACAAGCGCGCGTGCAGAGGTTCAAAAGACAGTGCATGCAAGAGAAGCGCTGGAGAAATTCGGCGAAATGGTCTTGACAGCGGACAGGTTGTTGAAGACTATTGGTGAAGAGTTTTCGTTGGACTTGTATAAGCAACCAGAAGAAAAGAAGACACAGGAGCGAGAAGCTTTGGCACAGTTAATGGCTAGCATCAAAAGAAAGAGAGAGGCGAGCAGCCCAGCAACACCAGCTGTGAAGCCAGTACCGAAGAAGTTGCAAGACAAGTTCAAGGAGGCCAGAGCAGAAGCAACTGTTGAAAAGGAAGAGCTTAAGTCGGCAAATACGCTGCAGAAGCAAAAGGATCTGAAGGAGCAGTTGAAGAAAAGGTTCAAGGAGATCCCTGAAGAAGAGATAGACAAGAAGGTGGATCTCGGTCATTTGAAGCCAAGTGAACCTCAAGCAGAGCCGCCAAGCAAGGAATTGAAGAACGTGAATCCGCAGTGGCTCACAAGAGAGAAGAAAGATGCATATCAAGGTGCAAATTACTTTCACTGCTTCTATTGCAAAAAGACAGACGGGCATAAGGCTCCGGATTGCCGCCGGATTGCGCAGAAATGTACAAAGCGATTGAGAAGTACTGCAAAAGCGCACCAAGACCCTCCAAGGACAACCAGACAAGGAAAATATTTTGCAAATACTGCTGGTTGATGTATACCCACTGCAAGTTTCGAGATTACCAGTACAAAGGATGGGGGACACATAGTCCTGATATCTGTCACCGCAAGGCAGATGTCGAAGATTACTTGAAGAGCAACGAGCACAAATTTCCTGATGAGATCAAGGAGATGAAGGAAGCAGAAAAGTTGACAAAAGGTTACCATCAAATGCCAGTTGGGGTACAGAGACGGTAAAGCCGAAGAAGACAAGTGCTGAAAAGAAGAAGGATGACAAGGAAGAAAAGAAGAAGAAGACCGACCGATAAGTCCAAAGACAGCAAGGACAAGGACAAGGAAAAGGACAACAAGAAGAAGAGGAAAAGCGATTCCAGTTTCGATCAAGAGAGAGCCGAGAAAAGGCAACGAGGAGAAGCAGAATTGACCTAGACCAAGGTTGCGGTTTAAGGATCAAAAGAGAGTGAGGGCGGAAAGCCGCCCAGGGCAAGCGAGACACCGTAAGGCAGGTGTATAAACAAGGCCGAAGTGAAGACACCGTAAAGGCAGGTGTATAAACAACGCCGATGTTTCACAATCAATACAAGAAGGGGCAGTAAGCCTATCCTTGTATATGAGAAAAAGGAGAAGCTATGCTGAAAGTGGATTCCAAGAAAGGAGCGGAATTTCACGGAAAGGCGTCCAACGCCATCAACAGAAAAAGCTAAAGTCTCACGACAAAGCACAACGATCGTGTTTAAAGACAAGGCTGAAAAGCCAGTGAGGCTTACAAAGCCAAAGTTCTTTTGCAAAGACTCTGAAAAGAGCTATGCCGAACAGACTACCTCGTGTACCGCGAGATGGAAGAATAGTGAGAGCGCCTGAGTTTGTAGTTGGCAAGCGCGACTGTTGTAAAACAATGGTCTGCCTAACAGTTTCCGTTTACAGGACTAAAAGTCAACGACATCCACAACAAGCACAAAAGCGAGAAGAAGAAAGAAGAAGCCAAAGACGGTTAAAAGTGCTCAAAGAAGAAGCGTGTGAGAAGTGAAGAAAGCTCACCAGAGCATGCGAGAACCGTGGTGGATGTAGGAAAAGTTTCACAAAAATCGCACTACACGACAAAGCTGTGTATGCGATGAGGGCGTAACAGATAGTTCAATTTTCCCTCATGTACATTTACATACAGGAATCCAGTGTTTCACCGAAGGTCAAACCTAGGCTCAAGCACAGCCCAACAGCGGAGCTCAGAGTGAGAAAAGAATCCGAAGCTCGCGCCGTGGTTATAAGAAGTATACTGGTATAAGGGTTTAAACTTTCACAGTTGGAACGTGAGCATGTTGTGTCAATAACTCATCCTGCTCGCCGCCTTTCGCAGATTCTTCTCTCCCACCCTCGCGCCCTGTGGATTCAGTTCCGATAGGGTTGAGGCTATAAGTGATTCATCTAGGCCCGGGGGGCGTGACGCGCAAGAGGGTTCAGGGCATTTGGAGCATGGGTTCCAAGCCCTGGACTTGAAAATGATTTGTTGTAGTAGGGTTTGATTATTTTTCCATCGATCAGTCAGCGCAAGAACAACAGCCTCTCCAAACAAGTATCGTCCCTTCCCAAGAAAACGCGGCACGTTTTGGAACAAAATCGTCGTGAAAGCTACAAACCTACAACTTGTGATGTAGCCAACCCAAACTGCAAACCGCAAGCAAGCATATCTTCCTGACTTTGTCGGCTGTTTTATGATTGGGAATCCGAATCGCAGCACAGTTCAGGCACATGACTCACGTGACAGTGACAGCTTGACAACTTATCATCCAATCTTGCAAGAGGACGTAGGCAGTAGGCATAGCCTAGCTTGCTTGAGGTGTTACATTGGATAAGCCAAGATAAGCCAGATCTTTTCGTTGTGTAGTGTCATAGTGCTATGGCAGAGCCTGCCATCTTTAGGCTTCCAGATCCTGGGGACGGTGAGCTTGAGGACAGAGAGTCCGAGTCAGAGGCCGAGGAAGCTCCCAGGTCTGCAGGTGCCCTGCGGACTGTTCGATATAGGGACAGACTTCGAAATGCTTCCCGTGCAGAGGTTTTGTTTCTGTATGCGAAAACCTGTGGCGACGAATCAGAATCTCTGGGCACCGCTGCTGCAGGGAATTATTTGTTTTGTGTTGCTGAGCTTGGGGGAAAATGCATCAAGCCGTTGGGTGCCCAAGAGCACTTGCAGCAGCAAGATACTTGGCGAGCTCGGCGTCAGAAACGTCGCGATCGAGATTTCGCCGCTAAGCAGATGTCCCTCCAGAACCAGACAACCCGAAACCAGATGTTCAAGTGCTGTTTGAAGTCTCTTTTTCGTTTCAGGGCAGCTGTCCAGTTGGGGCCTGCCCAGGCTGCAGTGGCAGGTGCCTGGTGCCGGGCACCTGCAGCTGCTAACCAGGGTGCGGTGACTCCTGTTCCTGCGATGCCCGCCTTGGCTGGCAGGTTGGCGGTTTTGCCTGCAGGGCAAGCGCAATGGGTTTTTCAAGCTGCTGCGCCAAGCGTCATCTTCGAAGCCGTTGCAGATCGCCAGGGCCTTTACACTTGCTTTGCAGACGGACAGGCGGCGGAGCCTGAAGTAGGCACTGCGAGGCGTTACCTAGGGCGTCCTTTCTGGATGGTTCGCTTGCCACCAACTGTCATGAAGCATTTGATGGAGATAGGCAAGGAGTTCGTGGTTCCTGGTGGGCTTGTGACTTCTTTGGGGCACCAGTTGCCCGGAACCGTTCCTGCTGCGGCAGAAGGAAGCCCCAGTGATGGTGCCGACAGTGGTTCCTCTTCCTCCTGCGAGATGAAGAAAGTGCGCAGGCCGGCCATGCAAGAAATCCTGTTGGGAAAGCTCGCTTACAAGCTCAGCTCAACGGTAGGCATTCAAGATGTGGTTCGCACCGTCCTTCGAATGTTAGTGCCAGATAGTTTAGGTCTGGCAGACAACATGAAAGTGTCGCATGGGCATGTGCGGAATATCTTGCTAAAGCTTGATGCCTTGCATTCCTTGTCTCGCCGGTTCCTTGCCCCACCAGGTGGTGGGGCAGACAAGTCGCTGCGAATTGTCAGGTACATCAGTCCTGACAGTTCCCCGCAAGCGAATTATGATTATTTTTGTGCGACAGAAGAGTTGCTGCTCTATCGTTCCGACGAGCTTCCAAGGGATGCGGGTGGAAATGTAGCTCCTTTCAAAGGGTTTGAACACCAGAGGCGTTCGATGTTGTGTACAACAATTGCGAGAGGACAAGGAAGCACAGCTTCGAAGGCAAGCAAGATGGTACATATGATTGCCGTTGAGAGTGGTGCGTCTCTCTTTGAGACGTATCGTTCGGAAGTTCGGGGCTTCTTAAGCGATCAAGGAACGGAGCGAGGCATAGCATCGTTTCCAGTCCGCAGTTGCTCTGAGGTCCAGAGTATTGTGGGCGCTCAAGCTTTGGCGAGCGAGGCAATACAGGAGGATTTTCGTGAATTGCCGCTCTTTCATTCCGCTCTACACATACCGGGAACACTACACATAGTGTTTAACGCACTGGAATTCAGCTTGAAGCAGCTTGAAACCTGGCAAAAATTCGAGAAACAGTTGAACAGCATCACCCGTGTGTGCAAAGAAAAGAGTTACTCAGAAGTAATTCTTGTGAGAATGATGAAGCATGCGAGCCCCGAGGAGAGACGGTTGTTGCATCGGATGGATGACCTCTTAGACTGGAGGTGGGATTCGCTCGCAAGAGTGCTGAAGGTTTGGGTTCCTCTATATCCCACCTTCAAGAAATATTGGAACCCAGCTGTTTTTGGTGGGGACAGCTCGTCAGTCACAATTCGAGCTGTGACGGAAGCGTTGGCAGACGAGTGCCATTTCGACATGGCAGTGTGGACGCATCAGTTCTCTGCCGAGGCCACCAGGCTGGCCCACTTTTTCGAGGGTTGTCACTGCCATCAGGAGCAGCTGACAGACCCAGAAAACCGGGAAAAGATAAACTGTTGTTGGAAAGGCAGGCGCTTGCCTTGGCTTGCGGTTGGTAATCTCCAGGGAGCTTTGCAAGATGCCATGACAAACAACGAGATTAGTGTTCTTGCGCATCTCTTGTCTCGTTCTAGTGAAACTGCAAGTCGGATGGCGCACATGGCGGACACGTGCAACAAAGTATTTGTTGCCGTTATCCAGCAAAAGCTTGCGTATGCTCAGCAAGTACCATGGGTGTTTGCCGCAGCGTTTGCGGGGTATATGGGCGAGACTTGGGGCCGAGTGAAAAAGGTTCTTCGGCCACATCTTCAGAACGTTGACAACATGATCTCCAGTGGCCAAGTCGGCGCTCTAGACTCTGTTACACATGCTTTGTTTGGACCAACCGACACAGGCCGCATGCTCCGAGAGTTTCTGAACTCGGAGGATGACGTGCCCCTTGATCGATGGCCAGCGTTGTTTTGGAGAGTACAGGAATATGCCTTTGTTTCTTTGTCCGAGCGACACACGGAGAGAGAGCATGTCGGTGTCAAGGTTGCAGCAAACCGTGGTCTCACAAAGGCTGGGCCTGCAGTTGTCTGCAGCCGCAAGCGCAGAGATCAAGTGTTAGAGATGCTGGAAGATGAGAAACAGCTCGCTTTCTTGGTCAACAATTGGCGCAGCAGGCGCCTTTGGAGTAGCCTGCTGGAGCACATGCTCACTCACGAAGAGGTTCGACTTATGGACACGCCAAAGAGGCTTTCCCGCTTGTACGGGTATAGCGAGGAAGACCACTTCAAAGATTGCGAGGACTCTGTTCGTGCTGATGCCGTTTACCGCCAAACTTTGAGAGATCAGACTTTGTTACTGGCCGGAAGCTTCAAGCTTCCGAGTGCTTCCCACCAGGTAGTGAACTGGCTGAAAGGCCATTTGGCGACGGGCGTGTTTTTCAGTGTGTCCACGCATGTCTTTGAGCTACTTGTCGACAGGGGTCGGAGATGTGAAGACCCAGCCGCATCCTTCAGAACCGACGTGCTGCTGTCTATTCTGCGAGCCGACGTCCACCCTCGGGTAAGTGATCGTGCTTCGGTTTTCTGCTCGGTGCTGGATGCCAGGCCAGAAGCAAGAACGGATGCTCGTGTTTCGCGACCTGCTGCACACATCACAGACCCGAAGCTAGGCCGCCGCAGCTGTGTGGTTGTGCAGCGTTTCCACGACGTGGATGTTTCCCAGGGCGTGCACGGCCTTGGTGGAGATGTGCGGGTGGCGTGCACGAATGTGCGGATCGAGGTTCTCGACTTGGCACGGGTGTGCACAGCAGAGAACTTGAAAGCCTTTTGTGCAAACTGTTTGCTCTGGCGTGCTATGCCTGCGGAACTGGCCTTGGCTCTGGGAGACGAGTCCACGCAGCCAGGTTTGCTGCAGGAGCCGCAAGTGCAGAAACTTCCAGAGATTGTCTTAGACAGCGATCCTGCCTGCTTGTTGAGTCGACCGCCTCCGGATCCGCATGTGGAAGATGCCCTCGACATCCTGCACCCCCCTGCCCATGTCGTGCAGAATGCGGACGACTCTGCGGTGCTGCAGGTCTACGGTGCTCCGTGTAGCGACCGAGAAATGCAAGCTATCAAAGAGTTGCTGCGAGCAAGGGCCATCGGCATTGAATCTGCTGTGTATGCCACAGACCTTGAACACTTCGATGCTGTTGCACTGGAAGGCTTGCGTGACCGAGGTCTTGTCATCTGCGAGACTGATATGTTCTCAGATGTATCCGTCGCCTTGACGGGCAAGTTGACCTACAGTGCAAGCTTGGTGCTGGCACGGCCATTGTTGCTTTGGGAGCTTGACCAAACGACTTTGACTCGAGGCCAGATGCCAGGCCGATCAAAGTTGGAGTTAATTCGTTTGTTGTTTGTCTTGGGCTGGGAGCCAGGGCTGGGCCGGGAAGCGTGGCATCGCAAGCAGGGAGAGAAACGTCTTCCAGATGACGTTCTAGTTTGCAGCCTCCCCTTCCTCAGAGCTTTGATGCTGAGTCGGCTTATATGGGAAAAGCCCGGCAACTTGTCGGGCATTTACTTGAAAGGCCCCCAGCAGTATTATGAGTTCTTGGTGGATCAGGACGATCTCAGCAGCTTGCGGGATGCTTCTGCAGAGGAAATCAATGCTCGGTTCGCGCAGAAGAAAAAAAGACCTGCTGGCCGCAGCTTGACAAGAGATGCGGCTACAGGTCTGGAGCTTGACCCAGAGGCTGATGATGCCGAGTTAGAAGAGCTTGTGCAAGAGCTGCCTGAAAAGCTCATGCAAGCAGAAGAGCCGCAGCCAAGCATGGCCAGCGGTGGTAGACGTGTCGCTCCTCTAGAAATCGACTTGGGAGGCGGTAGGACACAGGTAGTGCATTTTGACAATTTCACACACTCCAGCGGTCAGCTCCGAGCATTCGTTGCTTGCGAGACACACAGCGGCTGCCGCTTGTACACGTTTGTACGGCATCATGGCAGCCGCAGGCGGGCTGCTGCCTTTTTGCTTGCTTGGCAAATGCGAGCAGCTCACCACCGCAGAGCTGAAGCTCACATTGCGGACAAGCCAAGTGAAGAGCAGGTGGATGCCATGATGCTCCGGATCGCTTGATGCAACACACGGCAGTCAGAGTGAACGTTTGAGGTTTTTTTTTTTAGTTTGTTGCATTGTTTGGATGCAGGACACGTGTTGGCTGACTGTGCTGCTTCCGTTTGCTGCAAGAGTACCTCGGTCACTGTGTGCATGTGTGACTGCCCGTGCATGTGTGACTGCCCGCAGCCCCTTTCGGCTCCTTTGGGCTGTGCAGGGGCCAATGCATTGGCATTTCTCCCACTACGGAAGGCCGGCAGGGAGAAGTGTAGTCGAGTCTCGAAAGCTTTGCGGTGAGAAACCTGTAAAGTTACAAAGCTTTGAAACCCAGGCAGTCCTTAAGCCCCTAGAGTAAGAAGCTTGCTAACTCACAGAGCCAGATGCGGCCACCGTGTGCTCACCTGGGTTTCGGGCTGCGTTTTCGACGCTAACCCATTTCCCAGGCTGCACTATGGATCGGCACGCTACCTGGTCTGTGGGCTGCACGAAGCTACCCTGGAGCTACAGGATGCACAGTAGTCAGTTTAGCGTCCCCGCTATAGGTGTAGCAGCAAGCCAGGTTGCAGTTGCAGGTGTCTGTTGGAACAGATTAGCCTCTCAAAAGCAAAGCAAAACCCCCAACACCTTAAAAAAAATTGCTCGCAGGTGGGTGCCGGTGGTCTACAACCAGTGGGGCGAGGCGCAGCTCCCACACCGGCCGCCTGCGCTGTTGCCGCCGCATCCGCCGGCGGCGGCGGCCCCTTTTGCTGGCACGGGTGCAGCCCACGGTGCAGCCACAGGTGGCGGTGTTGCTGCTAACCCCTCGGGGGCTGCAGCAATGCCGGCGCCGAAAAAAAATCCTGGCCAGGTGGACCTAAGCAGCGAGGATGACGACGAGGAGTCTGAGGAGGAGGAGGCGGCTAAGAAGGACGAGGACAAGGAGCCGGACTCCCAGTCGCGGAAGGATGATATCGTGGTGGTGGACCACGACCAGGAGAAGAAGAAAGAAGAAAAGGGTGGCAAAAAGGAGGAGGCTGCTCAGAAGCGCAAGAAGAAGAAGGAGAGCAGCTCTTCCAGCGGAGGCAACAGTGAGTCCTCCAGCAAGAAAGAAAAGCCCCGTGCAGCCCCCGCTGCCAAGGAGGCCAAGCAGGCACACGAGGCCCAGGCCGACGAGAAAGAGAGCGGCAAGGCCAAGGAGCCCAAGGAAGACAAGGAGGCGGAGGCGGCGGAGGGCGAGCCTGCAGCGCGGCCTGCGAGGAAGAACCGCAGCCGGCACTCAGCGGACGAGGCAGATGTCGTTCGCTGCGAGCACTGCTGGATGTGTGTGAAGAAAGAAGGCCTGCAAAGCCACCTGGAGAACAGCGAATACTGCCGCCAGTGGCGGCTCCACGCCGCCGGCCAAAATGTGGCCGGCCAAAAGCCTGCGGAAGAGCAGGCGAGCTCGGGTGCGTGCCAGTGCAGACACTGCTCACGGCAGTTCATGCGCAGGTGGGACATGCTGCAGCACTGCCTGGGCACGCACCCGAACTCCGACGAGGCTAAGGAATGCTTGCAGGCCATGCACAATAAGCGGAAGAAGCAGCCATCAAAGGAGGACCGGGCGGCTAGCATGAGCCAACACAGGCCGCCGGTGCAGCTGCGGAGCAGGGGGCGTGTGGAGGAGCCGCCGCACAGACGTGGCCCGCGGCGTGAAGAGAGCCGAGATGATGATGGCAGCCGTGGGCGGCGGAGAAGCCGTGGTGAGAGCCGCCAGAGCCGTGGCCAGGCAAGCTCTCGAGGCGGCGGCCAGGCAAGCTCTCGGGGGAGCCGCAAAGGCGGCGGCCAGGCAAGCTCTCGAGGGAGCCGCAAGAGCTCCCGCGGCAGCGAGCACATGGACCGACGCTTCTCGGGCCGCTCCCGCAGCCGCAGGGCGAGCGAGCCTGCGGCAAGCTCCGGCCGCCGTGGGCGCGATTCGCGGAAGGAGCCGACAGGGCAGCTAGGCCGCAGCAAATCATCGCCAAGGGATCGGGCCATGGTGGCGGGTCAGAGCCAGAGCCCTCAGATCCCCCAGATGATGCTGGCCTTTTTCGATGCCACCACAAAGATGCTGGACATGCAGCAGCAGTAGTCCTAACATCGAAGATTTTTGGGCGAGAGGAAGAATCCTGGGCCTGGTGTCCTAAGATCCGTGCGATCCTGGACCCAGAGCCCTAAGATTCGGCTCTCGCAGAGGAGGCTAGGCCGCGGTAGCTAGGCCGTAGAGCCAGGCCGTAGGGTAGGAGCCCGACTGGCCTTCACCCGCCCTTAGCTCACGAAAGCCTTCAGGCCCCAAGCAAAGCTACAGCTACTACAGCTTTTAAGCTTTTAGCCGGAAACCGGAAACCTGAACCCTTAGGCACCAAGCAAAATACAGCTACTACAGCTTTTAAGCTTTTAGCCGGAAACCTGAACCCTTAGGCACCAAGCACAACTGAAGCTGAAAAGGCCAAGTCGGAAGTAGCTCCAGTGTTCCACTCACCAAGCACTGCCGAGCACAGTCGTGCCAAAAAAGATTCGTTCTCAGCAGGCTGGCGGGGCGTGTGGTCAAGTGCACAGCCAGAAAAAACTACAACCAGGAATCATCACGGTCGAGCGTTTGTTGCAAAACAACTACTGAAGCGTTTCAGTTTTGTTTTTGCCGGGCATGTTGAACTCATAAAGGGTTTTAAGGCCACAAGAGGACAGAACACAGAAAACACAGTGAATTCTCAAGGGGGCGGCCCTGGGGGTCTTCGGGGGGGCTTTGGGGGCACTGGGAGGGCTCTGGAGGGCGTTTGCAGGGGATTTAGCACCTGTTTGGGGGTCTCGTGTTCGGGGTGTCCGGGGTCGTGTCGGGGTCGTGTCCGGGATGTCCGGGGTCGTGTCCGGGATGTCCGGGGTCGTGTCCGGGATGTCCGGGGTTGTGTCCGGGATGTCCGGGGCGGGGCCCGGGAAAGGTGTCCGGGGCGGGGCCCGAGGGTGTCTGGGGCCGTTTTGGGTGTCCCGCCCATGTCCCGCCATGTCCCGCCCATGTCCCGCCATGTCCCGCCCGTGTCCCGCCATGTCCCGCCCGTGTCCCGCCATGTCCCGCCGTGTCCCGTGTCCCGCCCGTGTCCCGCCATGTCCCGCCCATGTCCCGCCCATGTCCCGCCCGTGTCCCGCCATGTCCCGCCCATGTCCCGCCCGTGTCCCGCCCATGTCCCGCCAATGTCCCGCCATGTCCCGCCCATGTCCCGCCATGTCCCGCCCATGTCCCGCCATGTCCCGCCCACGTCCCGCCATGTCCCGCCCTTGTCCCGCCCGAGTTCCGCCCAGCCCCGGTCCCGCCCACGTCTCATGATGTCCTCTGCGTCCTCTAAACTCTTTGCACAGCAGCCGTTTTCTCTCGAGGCTTTGTTTGTGTTAGCAGCAAAGAAAAAAAGCGCCAGGGGTATGCCTGGCAAACGCAAACGAGGTGACTCTCCAGTGCATGAGACCGATGCGACCCAGCCGCAGGCGGGCAGCAGTGTGATCACTGATGCGACCCAGCCGCAGGCGGGCAGCAGTGTGATCACTAGTGTGATCACCCGCCGCACACAGGAGCGATCCGAGCGATCCAGATCCCCGCGAGGGGAAAGGGTTGCGACTATCATTTGGAAGTGGTGCTGGAAACGAATGGAGACGGATGATGGGACCATTTGGTGGTGGCAATGGTGGAAGGAAGGGTCAACGAATGGAGACAGATGATGGGACCACTTGGTGGTGGCAATGGTGGAAGGAAGGGTCCAGAATCTGAGTGCGGTTTTTTTTCGGCAATAAGAGCTTGCGGTGGAATGCTGGAATGCTGTCGCCGACAATAAGAGTTTGCGGTGGAATGCTGTCGCAGACAATAAGAGTTTGCGGTGGAATGCTGTCGCCGAATTGCATGACTCAGAGATTGCATGATTGCCTGTCTCAAGGCCTTGCATGGAAATGGAAACAAGTGCATTGCAAGGGTAGACTGTGCCACCCAATTGCCTGACTGAGAGACTGCATTGCATGATTGCTTGTCTTTTTCCGTGGGTGGAAATGTTTACATCAGTCCTGAGTTTGTCACTGAGAGTGAGCAAAGCCAGTTCCAAGAATAGCGTAGACAGCCGGAGCCATCATCCTGATTTCTTTTCTTTCTCAAGCCAAGCTTTTGTTTTTAGTGGGTTGCAGCATGATGGAGACTGGGGCAGCGAAGCTCCTGTATGCGATGAGTCCTTGGAGCTCAAAGCTGGGCGTGCACCTGTGGTTGCTGAGCCCTGTGTAGGCATCTCTGCTTATCGAGAGTGGATGCAGAAAGCAGGGCTTGTTTACAGGCCATGCGCAGCCTACGATTTCAACATGGACTTGGTGCCGTTTTGGCGAGCTCTGCGAAACCAGGGTTTGCAGGGGACTTCGGAAGTCAAACTGGGTTTGCAAGAAGGGGACATCGAGAGGAATGTCGTGCTGTCAAAACTGTCAAGTGCGGAAGGCTTGATAAGCGGGCCCCCTTGTCAGCCTTTTGCCTCCACAGGTTTAAGGCAGGGCGCCCAGGACGAAAAAGGCCGCACAGATGTTTTTGAATCAGTTGTAAGCATGATATGTGAGGAAGGCTCGCGTGGCTGTCTTCTGTTTTTCATTCTGGAAAACAGCTCACATTTGGCTGATGCCAACCATGCTGAGTTTCTGAATGAGATGCTCTTGAGACTTGAAGTGTCACTGCCATATTTTTTGGTAGACACCGTGAAAAAGGATGCTGCGGAGTTTCTGCCAGTCAAGAGAGGTCGTTTTTTCATCAGAGGGCTAAGGAGAGACTGCCTGCCAGACCCCATGCAGGCGTTCCTCCCTGCCCCCCTGTGCTGCACGGATCTGCTCCCGGCAGTCACACTGGAAGAGATTTTGGATCTGAGCTTGGCTGCGACCGATGTGCAGAGTTTGTGTGCAGGGCACGCTGCTAACCTCACATTGTACAAGCAGACCATATCTCAGTGCATCGAAGAGCATCGTGCCCAAGGCAAGCCGCTGCCCTCGAACACGGTTGTTGTGGAGCTCGACCGAAACCCCTTGAGAACTTTCGGCGGGAAGTGGGGTTGGGGCAAGATCCCATCACTGAGGACTACGGGGCCACCTTTGTTTCTTCTGAGTTGCGAGGACTTGTCGAGGCCATGGCAGGTCATGCGACTGCACAGGTGGCTCAGCATCGCTGAGCGGTGCAGCGCTCTGGGGCAGCGTGCAAGCCACGCGGCCTTGTTCTCGAGAGACACCCATGCCCTGCATGCGATCGGGAACGCTCTCTCGCCAGTGCAGCTGGCCGCTGTTGCCTCGCCGCTCGTGGAGGCAGCGGTCAACTCTGGCGTGCTCACTGCAGGCAACCGTTGCAAAGCCTGCGCAGTGGAGCTTCTGCCGCACACGAAGCCACCGGGTACATCAGCAGCTTGTATCCTTGAAAAGACCCCGAGGCCAAGCGCCACAAAAGGTTCCAAACCAAAGGCTGCAGTTGAAGAGGCAACACAAAAGACTCGAAAACCGAGGGCCAAAAGCAGTGCAAAGCCGAAGGCTTCAACTGAAGAGGCAAGCCCAAAGACCCGAACCCCGAAGGCCAAAACAGCTACAAAGCCAAAGGTTTCAACTGAAGAGGTAACCCCAAAGACTCGCAACCCCAAGGCCAACAGGGTTCGAAAGCCAAGGGCTCCAACTGAAGAGGAAGCTCCAAAGACTCTGCCTCGTGACACCAGCGCAAAGCCAGAGGCTTCAGCTGAAGAGGAAGCCCCAAAGACTCTGCCTCGTGACACCAGCACAAAGCCAGAGGCTTCAGCTGAAGAGGAAGCCCCAAAGACTCTGCCTCGTGACCGTGACACCAGCACAAAGCCGGAGGCTTCAGCTGAAGAGGAAGCCCCAAAGACTCTGCCTCGTGACACCAGCACAAAGCCGGAGGCTTCAGCTGAAGAGGAAGCCCCAAAGACTCTGCCTCGTGACACCAGCACAGCTGGTTTAGATGGCACCCAGGACTTACCACGTCACCAGCCAGAAGGCAGCACCCAGGACTTACCACGTCACCAGCCAGAAGGCAGCACCCAGGACTTACCACGTCACCAGTCCGATGACTTGGAGCTAGAGCTTGAGCGACTGGTTGACGAGCTTTTTTCGGATGATGATCCGGGCATGGACGTTGATGATGCTGCGCCACAGAGTCCACTCGTCCTGAGTGAGAAAGCAACACACCTCTTCGAGTGTTTGGCTAAAGCCAAAGCTTCATCCAAAAACTGGCTCTCGCCAGCAAGCAAGAGCTCCAAGAACGAATCTGAGCCAGCACAAAGCTCCGGAAGCAAGGTTGGCGACAGACGGAGGCGTTCTACTAGCTCAGGGCGAGACATGCCAGAGAATGCTCAGCGCAAGCTGCGTTTCCCACCTCACTTGAACCTGCCAAAAGAAGCGATCCACCTCTCGGATTCCGACTAGCGCTTCTAAGCGGTGTCGGTTGCCATGGTGGCGGTCTGCCTGTTCGTAGATAGGACCTGCTAGGATGGTAGGTGGATGAGCAGATGTGTGTGTGTGTGTGCACACAGCAAGCTTGAGAATAGTGCAAAACAGTCTTCCGATAACCCTTCTGTGTTCGCTGAGTAAGCTTGCCGGGTAGTTCCCTGATGACAGCCATTGAACTCAGGGTTCTTGTTTTTGTGTCTTGCAGCGATTTGTTTGGCTCCACAAGCCCCTCAGCTCCCACACTCGTGCTCCCCTGCCCCGCAGCAAGCATGACAGATGCCCCGGACCAGGAGATGCCTCAGAGCATCATGTGCATCAGGTGTGAGGAAGAGACAAGCATCTTGACGAGCTACCCAACTGGAAGGAACTGCTTGAGGCGGATCTGCTCCTGCTGTTCGTCCACAGACCGGTGCCTCTCTCGGATGGCTAAAGCACCGAAGAAGGGCTCTGCCGAAGAAGCCAAAGAAAGCGAGGAGGCCAAGAAAGCTCGAAAAAGCGCTGAGGCCCTGAGGGGAAGCGTGGCCAAGATGGGTTCCTCGGAGCGTGCCCAGTGGTACCGCCAAGAGAAACGGAAGCGGGCAACCGAGTCAAAGAAAAGCCGCAGGACCTTCGCAACGGCAGTGGGGGCCTTGGAAGAGACTCGCCAGACTGGGAACGAAGATTGCAGCGGCTCACGATACATGACCCCCCGCGACTGGTGCGCACGGGAAATGATCCTGAAGCAGTACAGTACCTTGGAGGATGCTATGGTAGCCTACGAGCAGCGCTGCACAGATCCGGACGTTGTGACCAAGGAGATCAACGGGGAACTCTGCCTCCGGGTCAACAACGGAGGTCTGGAAAATGTCGTGGACCGCCATACCGTTGCAGCATCCGTGCGGCAGCGGACTGACCTTGGCGATGGCGAGCAGCTTGATGGTTTCGAAGAGGAAATCGGACCTCGCATGAAACGTGCTTCTGACAAGCTCCAAACAGAGCGGCTTCTGTCAGAGCAGCAGGGCAAGCAGGCCTACGTTCCGGCCGTCGCGGTGCGACGAGATTTGGAGCAAGAGAAGGAAGTTGCTGAGAACAGAGCTGCTGAATTTCAGCAGCAAGCCTTGGCACTCAAGGAGAAAGCTGATCAAAAGAGGAAAGAGTTGAAGGAGAAGCAAGCAACCCAGCTTCCCTCCTTGGCAGTGGCAAAGCTCAGCCTCACCAACGCTATCCACAAGGCAAATGCTTCGATGTCCGAGCTGTTGAAGCGTCAGAAGGCCACAGCAGACACCTTGTGCAAGGACTTGACGAATGCTTTGTGCATGTCAGACGTCCCCGTGAAGAGAGAAGCCGAGGAAAAGACGAAAGTGCTGAATGGCAAGATCAAGGACCTGGAGACTGCCATGGAGGAGTCCATCGCAGAATGGAACACCAAGGCTGGTGACGAAAGCCTTGACATCGAAGCCATGGTGTCAATGGAGAAGGATCTGGCAGCCTACATGAAGGAGTGGCACCTTGGCAAGCACTGCCAGGCAGTGTTGGACACGAAGCAGCAGATTAAAAACTTCCGCGAATTCACCTCAGACTGCAAGAAGGAGGTGAAGAAGCGGGACAAGCTGGCCGCGAAGGCGACAGTGAGGGGTTCGAACAAGAAGGCCAAGCTTGATCATCCGAACAGCCAGGCAGCTGCCGAGACCCCCGCCTTGGTGGTCAATCTGTTTGAAGCACCTCAAGGAGAACCCGCTTCCCGATGAAATCATCAACTGCGCAACGGAGCCAGAGGATGAGATGACAGTGCCCCTTCTGCTCCCACCAACGCCGATGGAAGGCTTTACCCGGGATGTGACCCGGCACGAGTATTACAGCGAGCAAAAGAAGTGGGTGGAGCAGATGCTGCTGAGGAGCAGCCAGAAGTATTCGTGTGCGGTGGTCACCAGAGACAATGTGGCCAGGCCCTTCTTGCAGCAGCTGGACCAGATCCTGCCGGTGCCACTGCGTTCCGTGGCACGACCCTCGAGCAAGGAGCTGCAAGAGATCTGGCAGTTGTACTTTTACCAGATGGCCGGGGACTCCGGCCGCCTCTCGATGTCCACTGACTGGGGCTTGCCCGAATTGCGCATCTGCTGCGAAGGCAAGGAGATCTACTTGGGGTTCCCCGTGAAGAAGCTAGCCGGCAACACGACGGCCGAGATGCTGCAGCACCTGGAGCGGATGCGTGCAGAAGAGTTCCTCACGGCAGTTGAGCGGGATGGCTGGTGTGTGACATGCCGCCCTGGGAGGGGAGTCGTGCTGCCCACGAATTGTTTGTTCGTTCATCTGAGCCTGGAGGGACCTGAGACCTGCCACGGAGCCAGGATTCACATCGTGTCTGACAAAAGCCTCCAGACGGCTCTCACTCACCTGGAGAGGCAGGTCCAACAGGACCCGACACTGGAGTCCAAAAGAACCGGCCAGCTGCTGAAGTGGATCCGCGAGAGGTGAACTGTGCGGCATCCTTAGCGTCCAGGCTGCAGCTTCTGCTGCTAACCTGTGACCTTATGGATCATTCACCTTGGCTTCGTGGCTGCCACTGTTGGCTACCCACTTGCCTGCTCCCCGCAACCCCATCTCATCGGGGTGCGGTTTTTAACAGTTGTTTTCGGCAGGGGTGCTGCTTCGCAGCTATCCCTTCGGCAGGGGTGCTATCCTGTGGGCTGCTGCTTTTGCAGCTAACCCATCGGCAAGGGTGCTGCTTCGCAGCTATCCCTTTGGCAGGGGTGCTGCTTGGCAGCTACACTGTGGGCTGCTGCTTTTGCAGCTAACCCATTCTTGCCTTTTTCCGAATCCTGGGAAGATACAACTGACACCAAGACGTGCGGGAGAATAGTGGGATCAGCGTCTGAGAGCAGAGCCTTAGGACTAGGACAAGTACAGACCTCAGCAGTATCTGAAGCTGTAGGCTCTGGAGAAGCGGTTTGGGTACACACTCGTGCTTACTGTTGAGGTCGGGTTTCTCAGGGTGTTACTGTGCACAGTGTCACCGGGTTCCCTGTCAGCCAAGCTTCACTTTTGAAGCTTGCAAAGGGATGTATCGATTCACCTGTGAACAATCTGCTCTCAGACAACCCACAAACAAAAAAGTTGTGGGCCAAAGCCGTAGGGCCGTAGGGAGTCCTGGGTGTCCGGGGTTATGTCAGGAGTTTCGGGGGGGGGGACGGGGTTGTGTTGAGGGGGTGTCCGGGATGTCCGGAGTGGTGTCCGGGGTGGTGTCCGGGATGTCCGGGGCATGTCCGGGGCATGTCCGGGGCATGTCCGGGGCATGTCCGGGGCATGTCCGGGGTTGTGTGTCCTGAGGTCTGTGTCCCGAGGTCCCACCCAAGGTTTATGCATTAATATCATCTAGGATGGGACAGGGGAGAGCATTTGCTGTACTGCTGCATTTCATGAACCGCAGAAGTTAAGCTCTGTCAGTTTCGGTGTTGAGCGGTGTGCCTTTCAGGATGTCCAGCCAACGTTTGTTCGATAGCCAAGTGATGCTGGACAACGACTCTGTGCTGTTCGACAGCCAGGTTGATCCAGGGACTTGGGCAGCGGGGCGCACGTTGGCTTCACCGGTTGTGCCTGCTGCTAGTTCTACTGCAGTGCACCAGACTGGCCTGAAGCGCAAGAATGCATGCCTGGAATGGGAAGGCGATTTTCCAGACACCCAGGTAGAGCTGTATCCGCCGCCTACTATCGTGAATATCAACGAGGACCCAAGCCCAAAACCGAAACCCCGCAATGAGGTGGCTGAGAAGTCCTCAGAAAAGTCCTTGCAAGAACAGCTAGAAGCCTCCCAGTCGAAGGTGAGTGAGCTGCAGGAACTGAACAGAACTCTGCACTCCAAAGCCGCGGAGTTAGCACAGCAGCTGGTGCAAGTGATGGAGGAAAAAAACAATCTTCTGGCTGAGAAGCATGCGAAGATGATCGCTGACTTGAGGGTGATGCGTTCTGCCCGCGAAGAGCTTGACGAGCTTTTGGATCTTAATTTTGATGACGACGACGATCAATGCTGAGAAGCAGTTCCTGAGGCTTGGCCTTGAAGTTTCTGTTGCCGTCCTGGCTGCTGGGGAGCTTTTTCAGCCAATGCAGTTTTTGGCCACGGGCCGCAGACTTTTCATTCAGGGCAGCAGGCTCAGGGTGCTACCGCGAAGGCTTCGCGATGCGCCCAGTGCCAGCCGCCTTGAAGAAAGAGGCTCATGGGTAGTATGTATACGGCTAGAAAGGCAGGGGAATGCAGGGGACTACAGAAACCAGGTGCTCCGAGCGTGAGTGTCGGAACAGTGGAAAAAGAGGACCTGAGCTTGTGTAGTTTCTGAACGGTAATAGGGATGTGTTATGGGCCTTGTTAGGGAGGGTTTTGGACTGGCGAGGGCTTGTGCGTGCTACCAGAAAAGGACCGATTTTGTTTCAAGGGGACGTGTTTTTTTTGGTTGGGAAAACGCAGCTTTTGAGTGAACGGTTTAAACCCTATTAGAACGAATGCAATTTTTCTAAAACGGTTCATAACCTTTTTTTATTTCGACCCCGTTTGCAGCAAGGGTTAACGCCCCCGGGGCCTAGATGAATCACTTATAGTTGAGGCGTGGCAGAAAGGGGTGTCGTAAGCTGCTTTTCTTTGGCAGGTAAGGGGTCGCATCTCGATGCTTGTGCCGGCAGGCATTTGTTGATCGATCCACGAGCTTGCGCCGGCAAGCAGCTTTATATACGACGTCCGATTCCCTCTTTTAATCTCAAGAGGTTTCACTACAGATGGGTGCTCCATCTGCAAACCAATCCTGGCGTGCACGGGGAAAAATGAGTGCTGCGACACTACATGCTAATCCTGATGGAGACGGCCGAAGAGCTATTCCACAGGAACTGTGAGCTACAGCTACAGTGGGTACGGAGAGAACCTTTCGGGTCCTTTGACCCCGGCTTGAGGATAGACCTCAAGGGGGGCGAACTCCGTTGGAGGATGTTGGACCGGCTACTCGCGCACTCCGATAGCTTCTATCGGGAGCTAGGGGTGCGAAAGCGAGAGGCACCGGCGAGGGTGTCGCGTTTTGGCCGGAAGGTCCGTAGGCTAGATCCCTGGTAGCCTGACTGGCTCCGCTTGGGGAGGGCTAGCCGAAGGCTAGCGACAATCTCCAGGTTAACTGGGATTTATGCCACATCCATGAAAAAGGAGAGTTGTCGTGCGCTACTGCTTGTTAGCTCGCTGTCGTTGCTCGGCTAGTACGACTGCTCTAGCTAGTTCCTACACGGTGGATGTAGGGGATGGTGGTGGGCTAGATGGGCTAGTGCACGTACCTCGTGACGAGGAACGAGTTACGACTACGTGTGATAGCCCGATAATCTTCCCACCGAAACCATCGTAGGTGTTTCGGCTAGAAACGAAGTTTCTATTGCTATCTATTGCTCTTGCTGTGTGCGTCAGCTTGCAAGGCTTGGATAGCTTGACTTGGAATGTCGAGGAACCTTGTACACTTCCGTGGCCATTCTGGATAAAGTCCCCCATTGGGGGGTAATTTTGAAGTACCCACCCAACCCACCCTGGGGAGGGCTAGCCGAAGGCTAGCGACAATCTCCAGGCTAACTGGGATTTATGCCACATCCATGAAAAAGGAGAGTTGTCGTGCGCTACTGCTTGTTAGCTCGCTGTCGTTGCTCGGCTAGTACGACTACTCTAGCTAGTTCCTACACGGTGGATGTAGGGGATGGTGGTGGGCTAGATGGGCTAGTGCACAGGAAAAGGTACTTCCTGAAGAACTCATCAGAAAAGAAGATACTTATCTCAGCATAAGATGCCGCAAGATGTCATGCTGGCATCAAGTGGAGCTAAGCTCTACATCTGTTATGTGCAGTATGCTTTCATCAAGCGAGGGAACTGAACACAAGTGGGCAAACTTTCAAGCAAAAGTTGTCAACCGAAGATCCGTTTGTGTTTCGTGCGTGTTCTGCTCTTTTCATGAGGCTGTCTCCAGGCTGAGAGTGTATAGTTTCTGGCAAGTCGCAAATGTAGTTCAATCCTCCGCCAACTAATCCCGAGCAATAACAGGCTTGTAGAATGCCGACTCCACGGCCATGCAGTTCTACGTGTTTTAAATTTGTGTCTGGTTGAAACACTGAATGTTACACATCCAGGTGCCTGTCTGTTTCACGTATCACTTGCATGTATCCATGCCTGTTGCTCAAGGTTCTAGTGCAGTGGACTACAGCTGTGCACCTGTAGCAAAAGAGACACCTGAGTGCCTGTGTTCCTGTACGCCTAGCGAGGGGATACACGTCCAGGTTACATCTCAGGGGAGGGGGGGAGGGCGGAAGTGAGGGGGAGGGGGGACAGGAGAGGACGAAGCTGAGGGAGAGAGAAGCACCTTTGATGTGAAATGTACTCGTCTACATCCAGGTTCATGTACACTGTAGATATGACATATGATGAGGACGTCTAGCTTAATCAGGATCTTACATCCTAAATCTGACCCACCATTGTCTATGTGAAATCAGCTCCGGCGATAACAAAATCTTTTGCTTTCATCACGGTGGCATATTCGACATTCATCGCTTTCCGAATGCATCATTGTCGCATATCACGTTGACGAGGTCGCAATCCAGCATTGTCATCATGCATGTCAAAATCAAATGGTATTAGCTGAAGGGAAGAAACAAAGACGGGCATAGCCAATGATGTTCATACCCATGTTTCGACTGTCATACTACAAGAGAGACTTTCCGAAGCACTGCCGTACCACATGCGAAGCAACAGTCCCAATTATGTTTGGTGTGTGTGTGTGTGTGTGCAGGATTTCCATATATCATAAGTGGAGGGTACAAGCGGTATCATGTCCGTTCCAACACTCATGGCAGAGAGCTATAGCTGATCAAAGGCATTCAAAGGCGATAAACAAGCTTCACAAGGTATCTGTACTAGATATACGGGCAGAAGGGCACAAAGAAACGATTTTGGTGATGCTGTCCTGAAGTTATGTGTGCATATGTTTCGCACCACATACAGAGAGGCAGTGAGAAATATGGAAACTGCTGAAGTGCATGCCACCTTTGCAGCTCATGCCAGTTGTACATGTTCATTTTTCCGTCGCTCTTTAGGCTATGCAGTTGGAGCCTTGAGCACGCTTTTAAACAAATCACATGTACCATAGTTGTAGGTGCCACGCCCAACGTAGCACTAACTTCGGTCTTTTGCTTGCGTGTAAAAACCTCCGCGTTCGTGTGAGCCATGTCTGGGATTTCGGATGCAGAGGAATTGATCACTCCACTTGTATCTCCTTCTCAGCCTGCTGGTTCACACCAGCAGGTTATGAGCCCAACGCTTGGGCAGGGCTATGGCACCACAGCAAATCCATCCCCACCTCCCGGGAGGGATGGTATTCAGACAGGTTCAACGCCAACACTTGTGCATGGCCAAACAGGTGGAATGGGTTTTGAACCTATGGCTACGGGAGGGGCACTTGGAGGCATAGACC